GCTACTTCTGTTTTTGAAATGATTTGCTTTAGCCGTTAGGTTTTATTGAAATGATTTGCTTTAGCTGAGGTTTTATTGAATTCAAGCCGTTCCCTGCCACATTGAGCACACCCTTGCATCCAGGTTGGTATTGCAGTGTCACCAGGCCCTTGGTCCTCCTTTTGCAAGTGTCTGTCCTTAAATACGAATAGGAATTAGTGTACTGAAAATATTTAGTTTTGGATATTTCTGTTCTAATTGTTGCTGGTTTGCCTCCACAGAATTAGAAACTTGGAGGTGATTATCCCAGTGGGCAATGGGCTAAGTCCTTTTAGAAAACATCCCTCTTTCCCATGCTGCTGCCCTGGTGGCGATGCCAGCAATGGCACAGTGCCCCCATGTGCAGGTTCACCTGCTGGGGTGGTGGAGACAGTGCTGTCCCAACAGTGGGGTTGTGGGCATGGCCAGGCCTAGGTACAAGCAAGAGAGAGTGTACTATCTGCAGAGAATTTATAAAGGACAATAATACCCAATTAAAATTGTTCTGCTTTTATTATCACCATGTGCCAGGAATTCTAAACAATTTTGATGATACAAGACTCCTTCTGTGCAATATTTGTCCTTCTGTCCCTGGCTTATTTCATAAAGTGTAATGTCAAACACATAGAAGCAGAGAATACAATGACGATTTCCAGGGAAGTGAAGTGTTGCTGTTCAACTGGTATAAGGCTTCAGTTACACAAGGTGATTAAATTCTAGAGATCTGCTGTACAACGTTGTGCCTATAGTTAACGGTACTGTATTGTACACATAATATTTTGTTTAAAGGATAGATTTCATGCTAAGTGTTCATACCATGGTAAAAAGAAATCTCACCAGTTCATTTTGCTGCACATTGAGAACCAATCATCAAAACAAAAGGGTCAGATGTCACTGTGATGTTTATACTGTATTTTCAGAAAATTTTTACTTGTGGTTATTTCACTTATATTATTCATTAACATTTCTTAATGATGTACACTTTTTTTTTGAGACACATTTTTTGAAATGTTGCTATGTACAAAACAAACCAGTCATAATCATACAGCAGTTTCTAAGATTTTTTGCAATAATATAAAATAGTCATCATAATGGTTCAGACCATATTCCTTAGTTTTGACATTACTGTAAACGTCTACTATCCTAATCCAGTGGACTTAGCCTTACCATAAATCAAGCATATTGACATAGCTACTCAACACAAAAACCCTTTGAACTTCAGCTCCACTGGCCTATTTGCTTACACAAAGGGTTTTAAATCAATAAATCATTCTTATCTTTATTAAAATAGGTTTTTTCTTTACAAGACATGTAAAGCCTAAAAAGCTTCTGTTGTTGGCAAAATCCATAAATGCATAATATAGTTGGACTTGCTTCAATGAAAGATATTAGACTAAGATTAAAATTGTTCCCTGGCACGCAGACAAATGAAAGGGGAGGGCTGTGGGGCTCTCATGAGGGTCCCTGAATACCCAGCGTGGAAGACAGTTCTCCAGCAGGCGGTGTGCGGGAGCTGGACTGATGTGGGTGAGTTGCAGTAAAAGGCCTGGCATGAGGAAGCCCTGTGGGAACAGCAAGCAAGAAGGAAGGAGAGAGGATGGTGACAGCCCAACCACAGGTGCCGTCCCCCACAGCCACCTGGGGATGGACTCCTACTGACCAGGTCCTCGGAGCTCCAGAGGCCTCAGTGCAGGCCATTGGGAA